CCTGCATGCCTGGCTTCAGGTTGGATTCCACTTGAAGCCTTGGGAATGCCTTCATTTCCAGGCTTGTGTAAGATGTTTCCCCACAGACTGATTAAAAGGGTTAGCCAAGAGCAGATGTTCCCCCAAGTGCCCTGGCCACATTTCTGTGGGAGCTGTCCCTGCTCAGCTCCCTCCCCCAGATACCAGCCACCCAAGTACTCCTCTCCCCTCTCTTGGCAGAAGCTGCTTCTAAGCAGTGACAGTTACTTCAGAAGCCCTTCTGGGGCCCAGACTGGACTTGTTTTCCATAGCAAATCAGCTCTTAGAAATTTCATTCCTGGGATATAGACTATTGTTTCCTGAGTACCTGAAGGCCAACCGAGGTCTGGGCCCAAGTCTCTGAAAAGGGGCAAGTTTTATTTCCTCTGGGTCTAAGGCAGACCATGAAATGTCCTCTGGCTTCTATAGAAGTTTCCCCATCTATGGATGGGAGGCTGCATATCTGACAGCGCCATAAGTAAGAATTCTGTTACCTCCAGAAAATTCAATTGATGGGAGAGGTGGAGATTCAGGTGCTGATGTTGGGGGAGCGGGGGGAGGGATCGAGCTAGGTTTTAAAAGCCAATCCCAGGCATTCTGTAAGGAGATGGTCCCTAGGCCTGCTAGCAGGATTTGAGAGGTTTGCTAGTCAGGTCAGATATAGTCACAAAGACATAATGGTCATCGAGGCAGGATGTCTCTGGGGGCCAGCCTAGGCAAGGGGTGTATGTGTGTGTGTGTGTGTGTGTGTGTGTATGTATGTGTGTGTGTTTGTGTTTGTGTGTGTGTGTGTGTGTGTGTGTGTGTGTAGGGGTAAAATGGAGTGCCAATGACATGTCATGAGGAATGAGGGCATGAGGAATGAGGGAGGAAGCAGCCCCCCACACCTGTCCTTGCATTACCCCAGGGCCTCAAGCCCCGCCCCCTCCTGGCTGGGAATAGCTCTCCAAGCTCCTGATACTCTGACAAAAATGCATGATGCAGAAATAAAACACACTTGATAATATTTTATAAAGCCACACTTCTGTGTTACCATGAATTTACCATCCTCAACCTAGACTGGTCCAGAGTAGAATTTGCCAATTGAGAGGCATCACTATGGGTGGTAAGGGCACTGGCCCAAGATGTCCTGGTCTTTGTGTTGTGATTAACTAGCTGCCACCATAGGGAAAGGTGGGTCTACTCACTGCACCTCAGTTTCCTCACCTGTAACCAGGACTTTGGACTGTTTTGTCAAGAAAGTCAAGAGTGGAGGATTTGGGATCATGCACGACCTGTCACTGACTCCTGGGTCTCAATTTTCCTTCTCTGAAGAAAAGCTGAGATGTTGAGCTAGACAACTTCTCTGGCCCCTCCCCCTCCAAATCTATGTGTGACCTTAAAGCTGGATAGTTGCCTCAATCTGGGCCTCCCAAGGGCACTGCTCCAGAATCACCAAGGTACCACCAAGAGGAGATCAAAAACCTCCCCATGAGGCCAGAGCCTCAGCAAACAGGTGGTTAGCATCGAGGGTGAGTGCTCTGACCCCTCTCGCCACCCTGCTCTCTCTGGCTCTCTCTGGCTCTCTGGCTCTCTGGCTCTCTCTCTGTTTCTCTCTCTCTCTCTCTCTCTCTCTCTCTTCTCTCTCTCTCTCTCTCTCTCTCTCTCTCTCTCTCTCTCTCTCTCTCTCTCTCTCTCTCTCTCTCTCTCTCTCTCTCTCTCCCCCCCCATCTCTCTGTGCCTGCTTCTCTGTGTTTCTCTCTCTCTCTCTCTCTCTCTCTCTCTCTCTCTCTCTCTCTCTCTCTCTCTCTCTCTCTCTCTCTCTCTCTCTCTCTCCCTCCCAAGTCTGGAATGTGCAGTTTCTGGGCACAGGAGCCCAAAGGAAGTGGGCTGTGGGCCTGGGCACTGGGGTGACGGACAAACAGATCTCTTCTTTCCCCAGCTCTTTTTTTCTCACGGTCCTTGAAAAGGAGGTGATCAGGTGATACGTGTGGGATTACTCTCTGTACAGGTGTGGAGCAGGTAACAAGGGGTGGAGAAAATCCTCCCTGTGTGTGCTCAAGGCTCTCTCCCTGGCCCTCCCCAGGCACTTCTTGGCAGGGGGACCCAGCCCTGCTGGCACACTGCAGGGAACCAGAGTGTGAGAAAGTCAGTCAAGCGAAGGAAAATAGGGCTGTGAGTTGAGCGGAGAAATCTCTCTTTCTCTTCTTTCTCTCCTTCCGATGAGCTCTGAATGAAACCCACAAACCTTCTGATACCAAGAAAACAAAAGCAAAGGGGCCTCCAAACCTCAGAGTCATTTGTTTATGGTTTGGAAGCAAACGTGGAGCAAGAGAGTGAGCAAAGTGACTCAGACAGAGATCACCCTGAAGGGCAGGGAGAAATCTAGGAGGAAGCCAACCAGCTGCACTCATGGGTGCCCCACCCTACCCTGCCCTGGCCCCCTGCTGCCATCCCTGGGTCACAGGATCCCTGGGTCACCAGATGCCTGAGTCCCTCAATTCCAGATCACCTCCCTCAGTCCCTGGGTCACTGGATCCCTAAGTCCCAGCTCTTCCATACCAGGGACTGGCTTCCTCTGCATCTGATTTGAATCCAAAAGGACTGGTCAAGGAGCCTTAAGGGGTCAGTCCACTCTAAGGTTCTGGACATTGAAGTAGACACTCTGCATCCCTGAACCTTGTCTTGGCTTACAGAACTCAGCTGTATTAACACTCTGAAGAGGGGAGATGCCTCCCACCTGCTCTGAGTTAACAACAGCTAAGTCTAAGGATGGTGAAAAGTATTTTCTGAGTTAAGTCCTCAGGAAGAACATGCACAGGGCTTGCTCGGGGCAGAGCATCGGAAATTGCAGAGATGTTATTTGGGAGCTAGGACAGCTATTCAATGACTTTCATTCAGGTCACCTCCACCCCTGCTACTCATTGGTCTGGGGGACCTGTGATCACACCAGCAGAGAGAACATGTGAGGGGGAATGGACCTTTCTCCACCAGCTTTGCACATCACAGCCTGAGAGAGTTGTCCAGGCACGAAAAGTCTTGGTGACATACCAGGATCACAAAGCCCAGGGCCACACCTGTTCCATCTCAGAATAGCTGTTTGGGGACAACACACAGGTTCCCAGTACTCTAGAGTCTGTGGTGGTCCTCGGGGCAAAGGATTCACATTAACTCTTTCTGGCTGGGAAAGCTTTTGTAGGACACATCACCCACTTCTTAGAGCACCAATCTAAACTCTGAAAAGCCTGAGAGAGGGGTGGGTCAAGCCCCAGCACCATTGGAGCCATTGTCTGTCTTTCTAGGGCACCCGAGAATCATAAAATAGGTCAGGAGACAGAAGGGACCTTACAGGTGATCTAATCTGAATTCCAAAGTTTACAAGTGAAGAGAGGGGTGAAGTGATTTATATGGCAGAGGAAGGCAAAGAGGATGGGGGAAAGGAATAAGCATTTATTAATCACCTATGGTGTGCCAGGCACTGTGCTGAATCATTTACAAATATTATCTCATTTGATCCTTGTAACAACCCTGGGAGATAGGTGCCATTATTAGGCCCATTTTACAGTTGAGGAAACTGAGGCAAGGATTAAGTGACTTGCCCAGGGTCACATTGCTAGTAAGTACCTGAGGCTGGATTTGAACTCAGATCTTCCTGTCTTCAGGCTCTTCAGTCTATCCACTGGAGCACTACCTACAGCTTAAACCCAGTTTCTCTGACTCCACACCCAATGATCTTTCAGTGAAATACTGTTGTTTCACACATAGAATCTCTGGAGAAGGGAAGCTCTCCATTGACACAAACCGGGTTCCATCCTAGCCTTTCTCAGAAACATTTTTTGGCTTATGCCCCCACAGGGCCTCCCTGTGCTCTAATGGAAGCCCTGAAGCTAACAATACTTGGAAATGCAGAGCAGGCTTTATTTATTACAAAGGACCCTGACCTCCACCTGAGCTCTCTCCTTCCAGTGCATCCTGCCTTCCTAGGGACCTTTACAATCCTCTTCTGACATACGTCAACCCCATAGCTACTAAGTGAATCATCTTCTGATTTCAAGAATTCAAGGCCAATCTTACCAGTCCGACTTCCTAAGAATTTGTTGCTGCTCAGCTGTGTCTGACTGTGATCCTGAGGACCAACTTCTCCATGGCGTTTTCTTGGCAAGGATACTGGAGTGGTTAGCCATTTCCTTCTCCAGTTTTATTCAGACAGGGGTTAAGTGACTCACCAAGGGTCACACAGCTAGTGTCTGAGGTCATGTTTGAACTCAGGTCTTTCTTTCTGACTCTGCTGTTATCCATGGTACCACTTAAGGATTAGGGCTGTCCAGAAGCTGGATGGGTAGACCCCAGAGGCAGTGGGCATCCCTCCTCTTTCTCAGGGCCTCTGAAGGCAGAATTGGGTAGACAGCTTGGTGGGAATGCTAATACAAATCTGATTCCAGGACAGGTCAGACTGCATGCCATTGGGGTCCCTTCTAGTTCTGAGTCCTGGTGAAGAAAGGTGCCAAACCCCTCAGGGAAACCCCATTTCCCCCCAGTCACTCATCATGGACCTTCCAGCCATCACTACCTTGAGATGCACTTGTTTAAAAAAAAAAACAGGGCTGCGTTGGCCCATGTTGCCTGTCAACAAAGGAGGCATTGTTCCCCAGTTCTTCAAAACATGATGGGACACAACCCCCTTTGCAGTGTGTTGAGAAAAAAAAGCCCAGTCTCGCCCAGGGGGCAAAAATGAGTAAGCCAAGCCTCAAATGAAGTAAAGATTTGGCTAAGGACCTGTGGGCTCTCCTCGAAGCCTGAAATGAAGCTTGGAAGGTAAATACTGTAAGACCCACAATGCCTTCTTTATTTTACGCCATGCCATTTTGATGAGTTAAATGCTTTGCTAAAGGGTGAGCAGTCTTAGCAGCATTCCCGTCATGAAATGGCATTTGTTCAATGCACATCTAGAGCTGGGCACAGTTCTACATGCTGCTGCTTCCTCTTTAAAAGAGCCAATCTCCACTGTTGCTACACACAAACACACATACACACACACACACACACACACACACACACACACACACACACACTCCAGGAGCTTCACAAAGAGGCTGGCAGGGGATCCTCATTCTCCTCAAAGGGCCAGGTACTTTCATTGTGGAGGGTGGCCTCTCACCACTGCCACAGGTAAGATCCTTTGAAAGATCACTGGACCCAAAAGCCCATGACCAGCACCAGCCCCAGGACCAGGTGTGATTGGCAGGGGGGAGGAGGAGAGACCCCTAAAAATAATCTGTCAGAAAGACACAGCTATTCCAAGCCAGAAAGTACCCCCTCTCTGTGAGTCCCCAAGGGATGTGCGTGAGTGAGTGTGTGTCAGAATAGACCCAAACTACAGGAACAGCAGGGGAGTAGAATTTCCAAACCCACAAACGCCCCATGAGCCTCTGAGGCCCTCCCTTCAGACGGCCCTAATTGAGCCTGCTGTGTCAGCTTCATTTTGGTAATGTTCTGTCATTTCGTACTCAGGGTTAATTGGATCATAGCTTTATTTCCCAGCTGGCTGCCCACTCTGGACTTCTCCATGATCCCCCAGAGCCCTTCTTGTCCTAGAAGATCACCACAACCCTGAAACTCAGCCCTTCAAAGTACCATTGACCCCTGGGTCTCTTTCCACAGATTGGGATGGCTCCTCCCAGAACATCCACATGAGGAAGCCAGCCCCCTCTTCACTTCCTGCCACGCTGCCTTCCTCAGAACTCTGCATCTCGAGGCTCCCCACCCCCTCACTTCTTTATCAGCTTCCTTTTATGTGAGAGCTTTCCGATTAGAATATAAGATATCTGAGGGCAGGGACTTGGTTTGGGTTTGTTTAGATTTCTGGTGCTTAGTCCGGCACGTAGCAAGCACTTAATGTTGGCTGACTGATTTTCAGCTAGATAGGCCCTTAGAGGATTATAGGATTTAGAGCTAGAAGGGAAAAATCCTTAACTCCAACCCCTTCCTTTAACAGCTGAGGAAACTGAGGCCCAGAGAGAAGTGATTTGCCTGAGGTCCCAGGGCTAAGACCAGATCTCAGATCTTGTGTCTTCGAAGTCCATTGCTTTCCCAGTAAGCCCAAGCCATCCCTGCCCAAGATCTGGTGATTGAAAGGAAGAGTTCCCATTACTCAGATGGTTCCTCCCCAGGAGGCCCAGGGAAGAACCTGGCACGAGAGTCAGTAGGTGTGGCTTCCAAGCCCAGCTCCAACACAGTAGCCACCGGACTTCATTTGCCTAATCTGTGGTCTCCCCCATCCTCCAAAGGTAAATGGGGCTGGAGTGGGAGGGGCTCTTGGATCAGGTTCCAGCTGGCTTGGGTCACCCAGACTCCCTAGAGCCATGCAGGTCAGCACCCACGCTGCACCATGTGACTGTCTGAGAGTTGTCTGGGGGTAATCTTCCCCTCGAAGCCCTACCCTAGGCTCTCTGACCGAGGTTATCTTCAGGGTTACAACATTAGGGACTCAGGCTTATTTAGCACATCATTAACTTTCCTCCCCGAGACAACTTGGTAGGATGTCAGTGGGCAGACTGCTGCCCTTGGGGTCAAGAAGCCTTTGAGGGGGATGTCCTGTACCTGGCCCTTCCTACCTCTAAATTAACCCAGGCAACTCATTTCTCTTTAAGCTGTCTCTCCGTATCACCGGAGGCCCAATCCCCACTAGCTGTCTCCAAATCGGTGAAGGCTGGGGAGAGGAAGACAGGGGAAGGAGAGTCTCCTCAACACCACCTCTTGTAAAAGGTAGCCCTCGCACCATTTTTCCCATTGTATAGAGAGACAGTTCACGCTCAGAGAGGAAATGACTTGCCCGGGTTACGCTGCTGAAAGTGACTGCTTTTTAAGCCGGATTTCAACGCCTTGACTCCAGGTCCAGGGCTCTGCTCCTCCTTGTTCTCTACAAGTTTCCTTCGTCTTTTTGGGCTTTTCAGCCTGGGTGCCTAGAATAGCACCAGACACAAAGGAGGAGCCTAATCAATGTTTGTGGCAAGAACTGGAACTGAATGCAAAGAAATTACTGTTATCGAAAAGTTAGGAAAAGCTCCCTTCTTACACCTGCCAAGTGGTTTGCTTTCTCTATCCGGAATGAGTAAAGGAGGGGAGGGGGAGAGATGACATTTTCCTGAGGAAGCACGGCCAAACCCGACTTCTGGCTGATTCCCCCAGCTGACCCTGAGGTGGGCCTTGGCTGTCACCCATGCCCAGCAGGTGCTCCCTTCTTCTTTCCAAGCTCAGCTGGGGTGCCCCCTCCTCCAGGGAGCTTTCCCTGATTCCCCACAGCTGGAGGAGGCATTCTTCCCTCTGGGCTGTCCACGAGGCACAGTTTTCAGGATGGGGCTACCCTCAACGGCAGATACTCCTCAGGTCCACTCCCCTCCAAGGGAATGGAAGGCCCTTGAAGGTGCCGGGCTGTGCATCCCCATGCCCTAAGCACAGTGCCCAGATCATTGGAGGCGCTCAGTCCAAGTTCGTGGATTAATAGAAGTTATTTCAAAAATTTAAGGTGCAGGAAAAAAAAAGATGTAGGATGAAGCTGGGAAAACCTTCCCGAGCCCCCTCAAATCCGGTGCCCTCCCTTCAGTGGTGAGTTCCCATTTATCCTGTATGTAACTTGGTTGTACATACTGGTTTGCTTGTGTGCCATTAGATGTGTGCCAGGCACACAGCAGGAGCTTAATAAAGGGTTATCTGGCTAATGGCATGGAAGAGAGGAAGGGAGAGACAGCGAGTGAGCACACAAGTGAGAGGGGGCAAGAAGAAAGGAGAGAGGGACAGAGGGAGAGAGGGCGCATTTAGAGGAAAGGGGGAGACAGGGAGGGAGACGGGCAGAGGGGGAGGGGGAGAAGGAGAGGGAGAGGGAGAGGGAGAGGGAGAGAGAGAGGGAGAAATCCCTGGAGAGGAACTAAAGAGGAGGAAGAGCAGAACCAGCCTTTGGGGGCCCAGGGAAAGGCTGGCGGGGGCCGAGAAGGAGGAGTCGCAGGGCAGTAGGCTGGAGGAGGGGGTGGGGTGGTGGGAAACCGCTCCCTGTAGATCTTGGTCGCAGGGCGGCCGGATGGTTCCTGGCGAGGGCTCACCGCGTTGGGGGCGGCGTGGGGAGCGTGGCTTTCCGGCCGCGGTGGAAGCAGGCCTGGCGCCGCAGCTGCAGCCACTGCGGCTGGAGGGAGGGCCCGGAGGAACGCCCGGAACGGGCAATCTCCCGGGAGCCCGGCGCAGGAGAGGCCTCCAGCGACCGATCGCCCGCCACGTGTCACCCGGCGGCAGCCGCGGCACTAGGGACGCGGGGAAATGGGAAGTGGCCGGCCTACAGCCGGCCGGCAGCCTACCCTCCTGCCGGCCCTCCCCCGCCGCTGCACGCCCTGGGCAGCCTGCTCGCTGATTGCTCCCTGGCGAAGGCGAGCTGGGGACGCGTCCCCTAGGCGCCTTTGCCTGGCCGAGGCTGGTCAGACCCAAGGACTAGCCCTGGGACCGTGGCCACAGCCGGAGCCCCACTGGGGCCTCGGTTTCCTCTTGGGTTACTGAAGGGGGTGGGACTAGACCGTCTCCTGCCTGGGTTCCCCAGGGCTATCAGACAGCTCCAGACAGGGTGGCTGTCGCTGCGTCCCCCACCCCCAGCTTTTCTTCTACGGTTAGGTAAAGGCGCCCTGAGGGAGGGGTGGGGTGGGGGCTGGAGGGCGCGAATACTAGAGAGCCCCTCAACTGCCTAAGGTGGAGGGGCGGGGGAACTGCAGCCTGGTGCCCTGCCCCCTCCCACCTGCTCCGGGACGCAGATAAAAAGTTAATGATTGTCCCCAGAGTAAGGTCAGCCTGGGAGCGCCCCTTCCTTCCAAACATGCACCCTTCCGCGGAGGAGGAGGGGGCTGAGCAACAAAGGTGCTTCCCTCGCCCATCTATTGATGCCCCCTCTGGGCATTGGGTCACCCTCGGGCCTGGGGGTGGGTGGGGTGTGTGGAACCAACTAGTCAACCGGCAAGCATTTATTAAGCACCAGCTGGGTGCCTGGCACGGTTGTGGAGTGAAGCTAAAGCCCAGACGTGCGAGTAAGCAGGGGCAGGGGTGGGGTTCTAAAGCGTATCGGATATTCTCCTTCCCCCCCCCCCAAGTCCGAGAATAAGAGCCTGAACTTGGCCGAGGCGGGCTGGGGCGGCGCCCTGTTCCCGGGCCCCCTGGGATTCCTGGTCCGGGACGCGGACACACAGGCAGGCAGGCAGACACACACACTCACACACACTCACTCACACTCGCCCTGGGCCGCCGCACCAATGAGGCGGCCGCAGCTCGCAGGAGGCGTGGTTTTCCCAGGCTCGAACACAGCAGCTGCTATTTACCTTCTTGGCTCCTTCGGGATAATATAAACCATCCCCCGCCCGCCCGCCCTCAGGGCGGCTCAGCCGCGGCCGCGCGCGCACACCCACCCGGCGCGCGCGCACACCGCCCCCCTCCCCGGCCGCCGCCGCCGCGGCTGCAATAAAACATCCTGGCACGTGCTCCCGCTTCGGGATCGCCCTCGCCGCCGGCCGCCTGATGTCAGCCTGCGGCCGGCCTGGGCCGCCCTTAAAGGGCCCGCTCGGCGGACTGGCAAGCGGCGAAGAGCGCCCCGAGATAGACGGACTGACGGACCGACCTAGGGACCTGCGGGCACACTCCCGCGGAGCTCCCCGGGCCATTTAAACCTGCCCATCTTAAGGCCGGGGGTTGGGGGGGGAGAAGTCCCTGTAAATTCGTGGTCTCCTGGCTTTCTGGCCGGGGATTGATGCTGGTGCAGGCGGGGATCTGCTCTCAGTTTGTTTCCAGAGAAAGGAGCGGGTCTCAAGGGTCAGTCTCCCGAGAGGTCCCCGTAGTTTTTGGCCTTGGAAAGGACGGGATGGGAAGGCCCAGGAAGGGCATCAGACCAAGCCCAAAGGCGGCCCACCTCCTCCCTTTCCCAGATATTCCCTAATCTATTCGCGGGGGGGGGGGAGAACGTTGGTAGATTCTTTCCCCCCTCTAATCCAAATCCCAGAGTGTTTGCCCTCGGGTGGGTCGCTCGGTCCCAGAGACATGCACAGGGGCCTGCCGCAAAACCTTGCCTCTCTGGGATACCTGTAAGCTTCTAAGAGTAGAGGTCCAGGTGCTGGCTGGTGGGTTGGGAGCCGAGGGTCTCTGGCCTGTCTGAACCCATTATGTGGCTCTCCTTTCCTTTGTCGTACTTGTCCCTCCCCCCCCCCGGAGGGGCTCCGAGGTAGTCTACCCGCCCGCAGCCCCGTGCTCCTCAGCCATAATGGAATATGTTCGAATAATATCACAAATGCATGTTCCCAAGAGGGTGAGCCGCCGAGGTGTAGATCCTACGAGGTAGAAAGTTTTCCTCTCAAACTCAGAAGCTGCGTCTTTTCGCTGCATTCTGATCAACCTTGCAAGCGCGCATGTGTGTGTGTGTTTGTGTGGGTGGGTGGGTGGGTGAGAGAGAGAGAGAGAGAGAGAGAGAGAGAGAGAGAGAGAGAGAGAGAGAGAGAGCGCTAGCTTACCTTCTTATGACAAAGAAAGGAAGTGGAGGGGAGAACAGGGCAAAGGACGGCAGAGAACCACCCAAGAAATGCTTTAGACCGAAGGGGCCTTTTCAAATCCCTTGCCAAGCACTGCGGGGCTGTGACGCAGGGAACGAAGGGTTAAATTCCCTTTGATTGACACTGTAGCCTCTGCTGCCCCGGGTCCAGGCGCGCGCCATTGGCCGCCAGTCCTTGCGTCTGGCAGCCAATGGCGGGGCGCCGTCCACGAGCAGTGCCGCGTGTCTCCTCCTCCCATTGGCTGAAAGTTACTGTGGGAAAGAAAGTTTGGGGAGTTTCACACGAGCCGTTCGCGTGCAGTCCCAGATATATATAGCGGCAGCCAGGGTAGAGGAAGATCACCCAGGACACGGAGCTGGTGCAGATAACAGTGGAGTCCCCCAGCGCTCTCTCCCTCTCCTTGGTCCTGGAATACGCTACAGACTTAAAAAAAAAAGTAGCAATCAGACAGCATCAATCCTCAGCGCTTGGGAGAAGAGTCCAGATTGTTTGACTGTCGGAAAGACGTGGTGCAAAGTTTCCTATAAAAGGGACATAAACAGCCCAAAAAAACACCGTTTTTCCAGAAGATTTTAAAAAGGACTCTAAAAATATCGCTCTCGAGGGACCTTTGATTTTTCCCGAGAAATAGAAAATGCCAGCTGACATAATGGAGAAAAATTCCTCCTCCCCCGTAGCTGCCACCCCAGCCAATGTCAATACGACGCCTGATAAGCCAAAGACTGCATCCGAACACAGGAAGGTAATTATCTCCTTTCGGGGTCCCCAGAGGTTTCGCTTGAAAGCGCTAGCGCGGTCTGGGAGCCGGGTGTTCCTCTATTCCCACCCCGTCTCACCCCAGCCCTGCCGCCGAGATTCAATTGCCAGGTCTGAGCGGTCCTCTTGGGACCCTTTCTCATTTCTCTGCAGTCATCCAAACCAATCATGGAGAAAAGGAGACGAGCACGAATAAATGAAAGCTTGAGTCAGCTGAAAACGCTCATCCTAGATGCCCTTAAAAAAGACGTAAGTAGATCGGATTTACCGCTTGGATTTGGGGGGGGGGGTTATGCTGGGGCAGGGGCAGGGGCAGCGGCAGGGGCGGTGATTTCTTGGAAATCTTTACTGGACACTGATAGAAGCAGGACTGTTGCCGATCCCCTCCAGCGGCTGAAGCTGGGTCTTCGGCCTCCCTGTGCGGGCTCAGAGATCCGGTAGCAGCCACCCTCCACCCCACCCCACCCCCTGCCTTGCGCCCCGGCCTTGGCCCGAGACCACGGAGTTTTCATTGCTCTCTCGCCCTCCTCCTTCTCACAGAGCTCCAGGCACTCCAAGCTGGAGAAGGCAGACATCCTGGAGATGACGGTGAAACACCTCCGGACTCTGCAGCGAGCCCAGATGACTGGTAAGCGCGCGACTGGCTTGGCCTCCCCTCCCCCACTCCCCACTGCCCGCTCCCCCCTCCATCTGCTCCCCCTCCTCGGCTGCCCGCCCTTTCCCCGGGATCCCTCTCTGTACGCGGTGATTTCTTCCAGACTTCCGCCTGTGGTGGTGAATGGCATTCAGCTGCATTTTACTGACTTGGCTCGTGTGGGCTTTCCCACGGTCTGGGGCTTATTTATAGCCACAACTTCAAGTTGTTACAGTTCCGGAAAAGGGAGGGAGGGAGAGCAAAGAGGAGTAGAGGCAGAGGCAGGAACCAGGAGGTGGCCGGCAGCTCTGGGAGCTAGAGGGCAGGAGTCTGGGGCTGGGGTAGGGTAGGATTGGGCGAGGGGTGGGGGGGGGTCAGTCAGTCTGAGCTCGGAGTGTTAGCGCTACAAGAGTGAGATATTCAAGGTGAAGTGACCCTTCCGTCCCCCCCCCACCTCCCAAATAAACTCAATAAATGAAATTGTAGAGGTTACCTGGCGCTTTAGACCTGTGCCCGAGACAGGAAGGACAGATGGAAAGGACCTGGAAGGAGGCCGGGCTGGGCTAGGACCGAAGGGACACGAAGGCAAGGCAAATTACCCGGCCCTGCTCACTGCCCTCTCCTCCCCGCACAGCCGCGCTCAGCACCGACCCGACGGTCCTGGGCAAGTACCGCGCCGGATTCAGCGAGTGCATGAACGAGGTGACCCGTTTCCTGTCGACGTGCGAGGGGGTGAACACGGACGTCCGCACGCGCCTGCTGGGCCACCTGGCCAACTGCATGAGCCAGATCCATGCCCTGAATTACCCGCCGCCGCCGCCTCACCCCGCGCTGCCGCCTCCC